ACTAATTTGTTCATATTTGGTGAATGTTTGCTATATTCTAGGCACATACACAGCTCTTTAATTCTCACAAACCCCGTGATATACGTACTATTAGAGACTTAGAGCTTAACTTGTTCAAACTCACACAGCTGTGTCAAGCTGGTGTAAAAACCTCAGAAGCACAAATCATAACCATTGTACTCTACTGCCTACCTCAATATAGGAATCGTTACTAAGTGTAATACCGGCACAAACTACTTAATTTACGTTAGCAACTATTATATGAGAAAAGAGAAATCAAAATGGAGAACAAATAACTGAAAACAAAGAAACTTGATTCTAAAATTCTCTTATCAACTAAAATCTTTACAATATAAAAGAAAAAAAACCTAAATGGTCTTTTAATTTTTAGGAAGATCTGACTGTCTAAGGGTAAATGCACCAAAAGTGGAAAAAAATTGAATGCTAATTGTTAATCTAAACTATTGTTTATGTACCGATAGTTCAAGAACCAAAATGGGCATTTCTAACACAGATGTTTATTGTAATATGTTATATGTTATAGCAAATAATTGATAAAGCCCTATTTCTCAACAGGAGAAGATTGTGGAATTATATAGTCATTAAGCATTATAGTTTCAAAGACTTTTTTTAATGATATGAAGAAAATGCTTGTGATATAATATGCTCCAATTACATAAGGACATTCATTTATTTAATTTATTCAATTCAGTGATTCAAAAATGTTTAATGAGAACTTAATACATGCTGAATGTTGGGCTAGGAGTTAGCCATCTGGTCTTTGCCTTCAAATAGTATATAGTCTAGCTTCTTAGTGTAGGCTTTGTCAACAAACAGACTGGCTGAGTTCCTTTAGGGCTTCGTTTCCTTATGAAATGAGGAGGTTGAATTAGATCCTTGTCAAGGGCTCTGCAGCAATTAAGTTCTGCAAGTGAAAACCGGATTCTTGATCCCATCAGACATCCCATTTGTTGTATCTGCAAGGTTATAATTCAACCAAAATTATAATAGAACCATATACTTACTAATGTGAGTTCTATTTAGGACAAAAAGCCATCTTGGTCCACCTGGACTGAGGTGTTTCCTGAGATATGAGACTTTTAGGACTAAGTCCTGGACAGTCCCAGGCAAATTAAGATTGTTGGTCACCTTAATTCCATGCCAAATTATTAGACTTAAAATAATTTAAATTACAGAAACCTCAATTTTTTGTTGTGTTGGAATGATTTTGTGTGGAATGACTTGGTATGCAGAACAAAACTGGAATAGAAATTACATATATGGGGCAGCCCTGGTGGTCCAGTGGTTTAGTGCCACCTTCAGCCCAGGGTGTGATCCTGGAGACCCAGGATCGAGTCCCATGTCAGGCTCCCTGCATGGAGCCTGCTTCTCCCTCTGTTGGTGTCTCTGCCTCTCTCTCTCTGTGTTTCTCATGAATAAATAAATAATTAATTAAAAAAAGAACTATTAAAAACAAGAAATTACATATATGTAGTAAACCTACTAAATTATCAAAAATTTTTGGAGAAACAGGGGCACCTGGGTGACTCAGCCGGTCAAGCATCTAATTCTTGATTTCAGCTCAGGTCCTAATCTCAGGGTCCTGGGATCAAGCTGAGGCAGGCTCTGCCTAGGATTTTCTCTCTCTCTCTCTCTCTCTCTCTCTCTCTCTGCCCCTCTGCCTACTTTCTCTTCTCTCTCACTCTAATTCAAAAAAAATTTTAGAAAAACAACAGCACATGAAATTTAACAATAATCACAATAGTCACATAATTATGAGCTGTAAAGTCGTTATCCTCTAAAAGCTTGGTGGTGTTTTTTTTAAAACCGTAATATTAATTCTTAGGCTAGGAAGAACACTGACTACCAGCACTCTATTAATATTTCAATTGGAGAGAGACATACTTTCAACTTTTAAAAATTGTAGTTTTAAATGGTATAATCTTATTCTCAAAATACAAATGTTCCTTTAAAGATTGTTCTAGTATGATCACCATCTAAAGTTTTCTCTTTCTTTTTCTCCCCTTGATTTACCACAGAGATCAGTACAATTAGGCTAATACCAATTATAATTTCTTCAAACCAAAGCTAAAGAACCTCAAGGGGATGTTGGGGGAGCCCTGAGGGATTTGTAATGTCTCAACATGGCCAGCTCCAGAGGCAAGAACACCTCCTTACATCAGTAGTAATATCTGGCTCTCTTGGAAACCCACCCTTAGGCCCTTCTGTCCATTTCCATTGTCCTCCAAAGCCTCCAAGGTCTTCTACGATGCCCAAAATAAAAAGTATTGAGATAAAGTCCTTTTCCACTAATAAATTTAGGACCCCAGGACTGGGAGAACACACTAGGAGCAATTCAGATGGACTTCTAAAAAAGAAACAAGTGACTTTGGTTTAGTTGTCCTGGTCCATTGACTGGGTGTTTCCTCTTCATTCATCCTAATGACAAGGGGCTTTTAAACTGTAACCTGAAATCCTTTTATAGAGTCACTGAATGGCAGTTTCTAAAATCTGACCAGTTAGCCGTTCAGGTAATTTATTAAATTTCCAACCACTAGACCAAATTTCAGATTCCTCTGTAATTGTGATGCCTATTTTATCCTTTTCTGTCTCACAGCAATTTTTTTTAACACAAAACAATCCTCATCGCCCTGTCCAAGCCCACTCCCCATCTCTGACAGATGTATTTCCTCCCAATGATAATACTTCTGTCTGGAGCCAAATAAATGCACTGGTCAAGTTGAATTAGGCAGAACTTCCATTCTTACTCTTGCCTTGGGGAAGAGGGAAATAAGTTTAAATAAATGATATGCTGATTTTTAAAAGAAATGAATAGTTGGGAGAAAAGTCTATTTCTCTCATTGGTGGGTGCTAATGCCTTTAAGAAATCCGGTCACCCGTATCAGTTTTATGAATTAATTATTCCATCTGTCTGATCCGATATTTGGCTTTAGTCTTCATTACCTGGCTAATAATGCCTACTACTTACATTTATTGATTGCTTACTATATACCAAGAACTGCTTTAAGCATTTTATGTGCTCACTCCTTCCATCAGCACAACCCTTTGGGATAGGTAGTTATTACCCCACTTTACAGCCAAGGAAACTAAGGCTCCACCAGAGGGACACATCTCATAAGCTGCAGTACTGGGATTTAAAGCAGTGTTGGCCTCATACACTGGTGCCTGATTTAGTTTCTTCTTGTCTGGACTTTATACCATTCTCATGAAATCTCTTCCAAAACCTGGAGGCCGTTATTAATCTTGCCTCCTAAGAAGAGAATTCCCCACCACCATTAGTTGCTTCAACTGTCCCCTAGGACATAGCTCTGTAAAGCCCCACTATAACACTATGCAGGATACAGCATCAATTCCCCTCCATTCCCAGAAAGACAGGCTGGAAAACCCAAAGGGGACTCCCCAAGAAATCTGTGCTCTATCTTTGCCGTATCATTCAAGTACTATATTTTTACCAGAAGCCTGCCTTCTTTCAGACAAATTCTAATTTGCGTATAATCAGTATGAGATAGGGGAGAAGAGAGAAAAGCATGAATCTTGGAAAAGGCTCAACTCCACTTGCTTAGAATGTTCTTAAATCTTATTAATTTATAGGCACTACCCTCTTACCCTAGTTGCAATGGGCCTTTTTACATAGCTATTCTATTCTTCACCTACCTTCTACCCTAAATCCTAAAGTCTCCTTTCCCTAGAGCTTTCTAAGGCCCACTGTGACCCACTGGTATCTCCATGATAGTTTCAAGATAGCATAAAGGAGATGGACATTACTAGCATCGGTATTTATCAGACATCTATGAAGGACATCAAGAAATACTAAAGAGACCAGGATAGATTATTCTTATTAAATTTACACTATGTCTTTAAGGAATTCAAAAGATGATTCTGTAATAAAGTATCCTTCCAAATTCTCCAAAAGTTCCAAGCTTGGACATCATGAGGAAATGTCACCACATTGTGGCCTGAAGTTGCTCTGTAGTAAGGGGTTAATAATTGTCCAGCAGATTCCCCAGTGACAAGTACCAAAGGCTTCTCACCAGCCTGGTTCTAAGCTGGTCACTAGAAGTTGAGATTTAGGTTCAGGTGCAGTTTCCAAAAACCCACTTCCACCTTTTGCTCTCAGCCCCACTTTCAATAGATCACATCCCTAATCTTCGGGCTATCTGAACACACTTGGACACCAAACAAATCAGAAAGCTGTAATTAAGAAGTTTCCGAATTGTCTTCCTGAAGCCTCCCTAAATGAGGAGTGGCTTCAACCATTCATTTAAGAGTCGGCAAATACTACTTCCCAGGACAAGGGCACAAGGGCACCAGCCAGTTCCATAGCCACCTAGGAATGCAAACACACAACCCAGGTAATCACCAAGAGAGCGGCGTTGGTGGTATGGTGGTGAGCACAGCTGCCTTGCAAGTAATCGCCATGCATTACAAGGCGAAGGTCAGATTTCATACTGAAACTTGGCTCTGCCTCTGGTTGGATTTTGTCTGATTATCAGCCTCTGAGCCCAAGTTCTATGTTGCGTAGAGATTGGGCTCCATTGTACCTAGCCTGGCCTCCTATCAAGGGCTTTTTTTTTTTTTTTCTTTCTTTTTTTTTGGAGGGGGGGGTATGTCTTTTGCTAAGAAACGGCAGTACGCTTTGCCTCCCTAACCCAGCCGCAGCCTGTCGTCCCCCGACAAAAAGCGGCGGCCCACTGCTCCCTGCAGCGGCCGCGGCGGCGGCCCAGGGCTCCCCGGGCCACCCGGGCCACCCGAGCCCCGCGGCGCGGCGCCTTTGTTGGGCGGGCTACAGATGGTGCCCCAGCACGGGGCTGAGCCGGGGGCGGGAGGCCGGGAGGGGGAGGCCGGGCGGGGGGGGGGGGTCGGGCGGGAGGGGAGGAGACCGCGGTGCAGCCAATCGGCGCGCAGCCCATCAGCTGACCGCTTTTGCTTACACCAGGTGCACGCCGGCTGCGGGGAGCACAAAGCGGGGCGCACCGAGGGCGCCGGCAGCGAGCCGCGGAGCTAGGCGAGGCCGGTGCGCCAGCGCCCGCAGCGCCCTCCGGCTCCGGCTGGGGACAGGGGCCACTGGCAGTGGCCCGGGCAGCGGAATCCGCGCGGTGGCATCCCTAGTTGCCCCGGGCGCCTTCCTCGGGACCTGGTCGCCCCCTTGCCTCGCCCTCTGCACCCTACTTCTACCCTCCTTCCCAGCCCTGCCCGCCTCTGCCCCAACCCCCGAGAGTCGGGTTGAGCCCAGGCCCGCGCAGCGGCTGTTGCTCCTGTCGCTGCCTCGCCTCCAGTCTGGGTGCTCTGCTGGGAGCCCCCCGAGGAGGCAGCGCGCGCTGCGGGCTGGGAGGGAGGCGCCGCTCAGCCCGCTGGCCTCCTCCTCCTCCACCTCCTCCTCCTCCTCCTGCTGCCGCCGCCGCGGGTCCGTGCGCACCCCACACCCCACACCCCCCACCCCCAGCCGGGCCTCGGGGTAAGTGCGCTCGCCTAGCCGGGCGGTGGCGGGAGGCTCGGGCGGCAGCTGGGGAAGTCGAGGCAAACTTGGCGGCGTGGCGGGCCGCAGAGGGTCTGGGGGACCGCGGGGTAAGATCGCGGGCCTGCGGGGGACGAGGGGGCGCGGCTCCTGGAGCTCAGGGAAACGGCCAAGTCTGGGAAGCGGGACTCTAGTAACCCTCTGCTTCCCTCTCACCAGCCCGCTCCCCAAAACCCCCTCAGTGGTGGGGGACAGCGATACAGTTGGCACTGAAGGCCACACAGAAATGGGCAAAGGGCAGTGACCGGAGGCGAGCCCGCTGAATTCCAGGCACCAAGGCGGGGGAGGGTGGCGCCCGGGCATCCAGGGGAAGGAGGGCTGCCGGGATGGGAACCGCGTCCAGGGGTCTGGGGAGTTGGAAAGAGAACCTGCAGACGGGAGAGGAAGGTGGCCGGGAGTGGGAAGAGCTAAGAGGGAGGAGGGCTTGGCTGTGGCCTGGTTGATCAAGAAAGGGGCAAGGGACGAAATTCACAGAGCACTGGGTGTGATGAAGTCAGAGCATTCGGAAGAACCTACTCAATTGTCGGGCAGTGTAAATGGGGGAAAGACCTCACCCTACACGTTTTGAGTCCAGGAGTAGCAGCCTCAGGGGGCTGCCAAGGGATGCTCAGATGTCAGGAAAGCCTTCATCGGCTCCAGGAACCCACCCGGTGCTGGGTTCCCCGCTCGGTCGGGGTCGGAGCAAGGAAAGTTTGCCAGCGAGTGTCCTTTGTGCAGCGTGGAGAGGGGGTGTGGGCAGCCCCCGACGCGGCGGTTCCCAGGGCCCTGCCGCCACCGCCTCCCGCGGTACCAGTCCCTGCCTTGGGAGGCCGGGGTGGTGTGGAGAGATCCGGCCACGGGAGCGGACCCGGCCCTCAGGACTGGTGGAAAACCCGTCCCGGGACCCTTGCGAGGGAGTCGAGGTGGATACGCGGAGTGGGAGACGCGGCGGTGGTCCCTGTTCCGGGAGAAAGGGATCTTGCCTGATGGGTTCACAGCTGTAGCCACAGGGCTAAGTACAGAGCCTGGCGGTGAATGAGTGAATGAATGAATGAATGAGTGAGTGAATGAATGAGTGAATGACCGGGTATGAATAGTTTTGAGGCATTTGAACTACACGGGCAAAGGCCAAGAGTCCAAGAAAATGGATCCCCCTTTCCTAAATTGTATGTCACCATTAGCATTTTCATTTCCAGATCTGCATAATGAAAAGGGAGATTCAGTGAGGGAAACAGGTATTGCTGACTTGGGCTTTCGCTGGTAGGATTTTCTGAAAGACAGTATGTTGTTTTGTTTGCAGTACGCTTTGCCGCCACAGTCTAAATAATATTACTCAGATATGCTCATTACTTCATTATGAAGAGCTAGGACTAGAGACGTTGAAAGTTCAGGAAGACACTTTGATCAGTGTTAAGTCTAGAGTAAAAGTGGTGTTGTTGGCTCCTTGGCCATGTGTGTCCCGAAGTCTCTGATTTGCATGCAAATGTGAGCGAATCCTGGCAGATGTCTGGCCTCATCCTTTCACACGAAGGAATTTGAAAAGACAAGGAGTCTTTAGTTAACAATAGACCTTAAGAAAATGGAATAAAGGCGCAGTGTGAGTTTTTCTGTTTAGGAATTCCATGGCTTGCTGACACCTTTATTCAAGAGCCAAATTCTCTGAGTACTATTGTGTTGAAAGCTCAAAGTACTACTTGCTCTTTACCTGGCGGAGTATTTTTGTGCAACATTCAAGGTGGATGTTCTGAGCTGGATAGTGAGGAAAATGTTTATGTGAAGCAGGCAGTAACTTTAGTCCATTTCTGGTGGTTTGAGATGATTACTGAATTGACCTTCCAACTTTTAGAGTTTCTTTTCTTTTTATTTTAGTAATTTTACCTCCTGCTCACATTTGCTCTCCATCTTCAGATAGGAAAAGATAATTGTAGTTGGCTGACATGAAAAATGTTTGCTGTTCAATCAAAATTATTTTGCTTGTTAAGGCATCAAACTCGTAGACCTGAAGGTGATGAAACCATCATGTTCCTAGTCAACCTGAGAGGTTTTCACAATGAGTGAGAGGTAGTCATGCACTGGACGGCAAACTAGGGAAATTTCTGCCTTGTCTAATATTAGCTAATAGACCACCGCATTGCTCACCTCCTGGAGCAGTGTGACCACTGAACAAAGGGCTGGCAGTGTGGGCTGCACGTGAGCCCTGGGATTATACCTACTGACAAGCCAGTCCCCTTGCCCTCTTTTGTCAGTCAGAAACACTGTTGAAGGGAAAAAGAACCTATTCACTAAACAGTGCTTGCCCCTGTATTCTATATATTCACTGAAAGGGACATTAAAATACGCCCCCCTCACCCCCACCCTGCCAAGACAACATTGTTTTGAGGGCTTGGTGTTTGCAGGGGAGGGGTGCACAACAGATGTTAGTCTGCTATTTTACGTGTTTCCTTTAAGTTATTTTTGCTGGTTCAGTGACTTTTACACATAAGGCAGTATTTTCCCAGGAGGGGAAACATGAATTGAGTCAAATTTAAATAAGAAAATGTTATAGCTAAGATTACATTTTGTGTCTTACAGCTATCAAGAGGTCAGAAAGTAACAAATCATAATAAACACTTATGTGACTTAAGCCCAAGATTCTGTCCTCATTATGGACTTGAGGGTTAACTATAAAATAGTTGACTTTTCTAAACTAGACTATAAGCCATTTTACTGTAAAGTATCTAGATATTTTTGAAACAAACCAGGTAACTTTAAAATGACCACAGCCTTACATTTGTGAGAACTTATTTAGGTTATAATCCTGCCTGTGTGAAATCTTTATTCTGCAATTCTAATAAAAGGGATGATTAGAGCTCATTCCTTGGTAAATGAAAGTAATAAAGTACTTATTGTTTAAAAAAAAAATCACCGTGCTAAATAAAATCTTAGACCAGATCTAACTGCAGACTCTGACCCTGAACAATACTACACCTAGCTATTGACAGTGTCTGGAATTCAAAAAAAGCAAGGAAAACTCAACCATTGATCTCTCTCTCTGGTTAGTCCCTGCTAAAGCTAGCTTCTTGACCTGAATTGCTAGAGCAATTACCACATATCCTAAAGCAGTGGCACTCAAGGGAACAAACTGGTAGGTACTAAAGAAAATCTGCCTCTACAGAGTTATATTGCTATTTTCCAAGCCAGTTGAGTATGACTATAAATAAACAGAATGGTGGGCTTTTTATGCCACCATAAATAAGCCATACCCCACAAATAAAATATAGTAAATTATAGGATCTGCATGTCACTTTTTACTAGACTTTCATAATGCTTTCTTAAAATTTATTTTAAGCTACAAAATAATAGTTCTTTGAATGATTCACTTGAACACTAATGTAAGGTTGCTTAAATATTATATTTAATTTTTCAAAATTATTATGCTGAATATCTATTTGGGGTTAAGCCAATCTGGAGATAAAGCAAATTCCATTTTAGAATCATATTTTGGTTTCTGGGAACAATGGAAGTTTCTTTGACTCATGAATAGAGCTTTGATTAATATTTTATTCAGGGTGAATGTATAATTATACAGATGAAGTCAGGAAAACATGTATCCTCTCTTGTTTTGGGCTTAAAGTATAGAATGTAGACAAAAGCTGAACCCTATCTGTAAAATTCAGTAGTTACTATCCAAGGGAACCATTTGCTCTTCAAATCTTCTTAACTGAAGTTTGTTTTTTAAGTTTTTTGTTTTAGCATATTACCGTCTGCCTACTTTACAGATATATTACAGGGGATAGCCTCCAAGTCTTAAAACATAGACAAATGCATGCATAATACATAGTTGACATTGCATTTACAATACATCAGAAAATAATATAGTATACGTTTTCAGACTTATAGCACATATAGAACTGTTATGCATATTATTCAATAATTAAAATATATACTATTTGATGTTAAACTTTTTTAAAGAGAAACATTTGTATTACCTATTATTTTTTACTTTTTGGATGTTTTTAAAAGGTCTAGCAAAGGTAGGATGTTATTAGCAATTTTATTCATTATTTGGTTGGTAAGAAAGCTACCATCTAGTCCTAGCTGGGTTTTCTTAGACGTTTCATGACCCTGCCAGTCCTCAGTTTTCTCATTTGTAACATGACCGTGTTGAGAGAATAGAGTTTGGAAGGATAACTTACTCAGTGAAACTGCTACAGGGTTTGTGAAAGCTGTGCTTCCAGTACCATAACCAACAAACACGTAACTCAGATGGAACCATTATACTTACTGGAGTGAAAATCATCCCTGACAGGCAAAGAAACTAAACTTTAACTTTCAGTGATACGCACCGAAGTTCCATCAACGCGGACGAGAGAGTCCTCCCCCAAGATGCTTCCACATCTACTTACAACACTTCATTTTGAAAGCTATGGAATGAAAGTGCTTTTACAGTGGCTTATTGCCTTCCATTTACACTGCTTATGGCAAAGGGTTTGGAATGGTATTTGAAAGCTCTGATTAATACAAATGAGCTGTAATTTTCTGACCCAGACCATCCTACCTCATATCCATTATACCACTGGCAGACATGTGGATTCCACAGCTGTCCCCTCATTTGTGTATGAAACAGACACACTGGTGGCATTTTTTGGTTACCATAGTTACAATAACAATATACATGTGACATGACATCCTTCTACACGAAAGGTTTTTGTATTTTGTAGAACTGAGAATGAAGGACAACTATGTAAAGTTTCGGAGATACGTAAATTAATCTGCATTGTTTTCTGGAGCCACCATTTCAATCATGAGAGGAGAGCTGTCCCTCAGTGGTGTCCAGGAAAGGGCAATTGCAAGAGTTTGGCTCACAAAGATTTCCAAAGGAGGCATTTCCACAATGCCTAACCTCTATAGGAGAATGCTCATTAAATATTCATTTCAAAATATTTGCTCTTCCTATTTAGGCCTGCCCTTTGTGAGATAAT